GCAGTTTTGGCACGGTATGCTGTAGACCACAGATGAGTGATGATGGAAATAAGAATGTTTCCGAAACGTCAGCACAATTACAGTATGGCCCATGACAGCGCCTTATTTTCTTCTTTATCCACTTTGGGAGATAATGAAGGGGATAAATATATATATCTTCAGGACACAAAAGAACATTCTTGTAACTTATAATCATATCTTATTTGTCCTTCTGCCTATAAAATTAGCTGTTATACGGTGTGGCTCGAGTGTGAGCTCCAAAGGCACCAGGCCGGGACGAATGTGTCCTGTAAGTGATTGGTGAACGCCTCTTCACTACTGCATTTTCTCGATCAAAAAACCGAGAAGATTGCGAGCCCGTCACGCAGCGTTGGGCTGCCAACAAACATCGTCGCAGGTTAGAAACTCAAGCGTGGCACCAAGTTCTGGGGCAAAACTTGAGTTGGGTATGACTGGCTGACGACGGCTAATAAGCCAGCAGTATTTACTCTAGTCTCCCTTGTCCTAGTCGGTAATGTCCTTCTGCCTATATCATTATATGCATATCCATAATCTGGCCTGTTTTTAACTGCACTTTACGAGCTGGGTTTTTACTCTGCTACCTCCTACCATCGTACTAAGAAATTACTTGTTTCTTGTTGACGATCATTCATCAAACCTTCTTCGACTTACTTCCTTGTCAATTCCAGTGGGCTGGCGCCACAGGGTCTTGTAAGAGAAGAAGGCTGAGAATGAAGCTCCATCTCTGCCGGCCATTGTTAATGCTGTCGTCAGTTTTTCCAAAAGCTGCCAGAGGTCCGTATCAAGTTCACTCTGCGATACGTTTTCTGTTGGTAAGTGGTCAAGGGCGCTCCCAGGTCCCGTGTCATCGGCCAAATGATTTCCAATGTCAGAGAACTGTCGTTGCACTAAAATGGGCTGGAGAGGGCTTTCTCGGGTCGGGACGGCCATGCTGTCCAACTGCGGGTTGACGACCCGTTTGACGCAGCCCTGCAGCTCTTCGTTCAGCAAAATACCAAGGAAAGTAAGGGGTGTGTATTACAAATCTTTGTTTAAGCAGTAAGGGCACTCAAATCTGAATACTAGTCAGTACGACGTGCCTTCTTCTTAGATTTGAGACAGTAATCTCTGACCTCAATAGCCGGTGCGTCTTATTCCAACCGGAAAATATTATTGAAAATATATACTGCAACACATTAATGTCACCAGCAAGTATGCCCGTATGACACAACGAATCGGACTTCGTCCTATTAACGACAGAACTATATCTACAAAGTTGTTCATCTTTCCAAAAGGAGTCTCACGCCCACCGAAACCTACCCGCTCTCTAAAGGAATGTGGTTCAATCCCATTATGTCGCACCCACGAACTTCTTAGCCAGCCTGGAATCCATCCTACTAACATCGTACATTCCTGAAGACATGCATGCTGAAATACGCATCTGTGCTACCGGCCTCCTCCGAAAAGGAAAACATCAGCAAACCTTACCACAGAAAGAAGAAAAGAGATTACACTCCTTGAAATTGGACGATAGTATCGTCATTACATTCGCGGACAAAGGTGGTGCAACCGTCATCATGGGCAAGACTGACTATGCCGATAAGGCGAACCAAGCCTTTAATGACAAGGAGGCCTACGTCGCAATCGCTGAGGGTCCAACGAAAAAGACAAGCCGCATCTTTAGAGAAAAAATTGAACGAGCTCACTGCACTGAAGCTCATAAAGCCCGCAGATTCCAGATTTTACAACAACAAAGATCTCCACATTGCACGTGCTTGTGGTCTCTCAAAGATTCACAAGGTAGATCCACCACTGAGGATTATAGTGCCACTTACTGGGTCGCTTATGTATCAGTTCACCAAACGGTTATACAAAAACCTTAAGCGCCTCGTCAATGGATCGCAGCAGAGCATCAGCAATTCTCATGTTCTCCTCCAGAGAATACAAGGTTTCAATGTAAGTTCTGATGACAGTGTTCTATCGTTCGATGCGATTACACTATTTTCCTCCATACCACACAACCTGGCAATTAAAAGTGTAACTCGGGGCCTAGACAAAACTCTCATTCTTATAACGAGTAGAAGACTCAGACTCAGACCAAAATTATGGCTCCGCTACGTAGATGATACCTTCGTTGTCATAAAAAACTGCTAAGTGGAGCGGCTGCACCAGAGTCTAAATGCTATTTTCCCACCATATAATACACTCGTGAAGAAGCAACAGAAGACATCCTTCCGTTCCTCGACGTCATGGTGCAATGATTGAGTGATAGCGATGTCAAAATCAGTATTCACAGGAAGGACTCTAATGCCGAAATAATTTCCAATTATAGGAGCAACCGTCCAGCAGCTCACAAAGCAGGCTGCGTTTGAACCCCTTTTCACCGAACCTTTCGGTACTGCAGCAGCGAGCATCTACCTAAAAAGACTTGCCTATTTATACCAATTATTTCGACTGAACGGATATCCGATGAGTTTCGTGAAAAGCTGCCTCCGACATTAGAGGTAATCAGAAGATCGGACTTCTAGTGAAGAAGCGATGCTGGGGAAATTCTGTTCTTTACCCCACATGCAAGGAATTTCTGAAGTGATCGCCTGACAAGTAAATCGTCCTGGTATCAGCATTGATCAGAGTCCAGCGTCCTCCCTGAGGGCAGCTCTATTTCGCGTTAAAGATCACATACCACAAGAGCACCAAGCCAATGTCATTTATCGCATTCCGTCTGCTAATTGTCCTAGTGTGTACATAGGAAATACAGGTGGGAACATTGGCACCCGCATAAACGAACATAAGCTAGCCATTCGAAGACGTGACCCATTGTCTCTCGTGTTTGCGCGCGCTACTAATTATGATCATCGCTTCAGTTTAGACGGAAATGAAATTTGTTAGTTTGCGCGCATGGTCCACTAACAATAACCGTCTAACCATGCTCCGCCAAGTAGAAATTCACGGATTCTGCACCCGCCCGACACGTGGCCCATCATCTAAACGTTCGCACACCCCCTCACTTGCAGCACTTATCGCAGCACGATTCGCGTCACCCTAATCCCCTCCCCCCAAACCCTCCTCAATGTAACTTCAAATCCAAAATAAATACAGCGGAAAAATGCCGTTATGCAAAAAATAATGGCATATGAATAGTTAAGGTGAGACCATTGCGAATAAGAAGCGCACAACATGTTCCCCACATTTTCTCGATGAAATGTTCATGCGAGTTGAGTTTAATGTAAACCAAACGGTCTACTGAAATCATGTGAGTATTATGTTTGCAGCAACGTATGGTTATCATTTAGATGATAACTCGAACGCAAACGCTTGTTGTAGAATTTAAAATTAGCTAGTTTTTGAGACAACTGCTACAGTTATTTCCTTATCTCTGCGACAGGAGCCAATCCATAGCTGGAAAAGAGTCTAGTGTGGAAAAGTTTTATATTATACGGTGTTAGGTTTTTACAATAATGTACGATTTAGTATCTGAGCGAGATTACAGGGAAAGGGTAAGTAGTTTAGGAAGGTTAGCGCGCAATGGAAGGGCATCTCTGAGACCAGATAAGCGTGGACTTTCCATAAAACTTAACCAGGTCAGCACAACTGTCTGTCTGCATGAAGATGTAAAAAGATCAAAATCAACCCGAAATGAATTTTAGATGTTCATCCTACCGCACGACCTGAGCACTAGCGTGTCTTGTAATGGATAAAATAAAGTGAAAGAACAGTCTTTAAAAAAGACTGCTGCTTTACTGATCTTGTGAGTAGAATTAAGGTAATTGACAGTTTAAGAGAAAGCTTGGTTGTCAAATAGCATTTAATAAACAAATGGCAGAAAAAACAATTGAATTACCAAACTTCATATATTTTTCTGTTGAGCCGGCTTCAATAAGTTCTTCTTTTTCACACATAGAGAATAAGTGCAGTAGAATACGCCGGATGATTTTCTCACGTTGAACATACTTACTGGTACCACCGGCTGACCGTTTAGACGTCTCCTGTTATGTAAAGGAAAATGAAGTGTCCAGACAGAAGAGAATAGTTTTACCGAACTATGTCAAATCTGTTATATTTAACAAGAAGGTGGCCGAAGGTATCCTGTTACTTCATACCTCTCTTACAGACGCACATGAAGTCACACGGTACAGATGTTAACTTTTCATGGACAATCTACTATGCAAGTCCTTTGTCTTTTATTCCCCTAACACACCGACATATTTGATTTATTTAAGGTTAAATTTCTGGCTGAACTAAAGAATAAGTTCTAAGGGACTGATTACGGTCAACATTTGGTGTAAAATGAAGGCTATTGCTAGGGTATGAACTAGAGTCATCGTTAGGAGTTTACTTTGCTCGCCGCAGGCCGTGTTTTCCAATCCCATCTTGGCAGAAATATCATTGGTAGAAGACCTTATATACGCATAGCCCCAGGTTTCTGTGTTACGGGACCCGTGGTGATGGGCGTTTAAAATCAGTAGGGCTACTGCACTGAGTCAAATCGAAAACCTGTGGACAAATCAAATATACGCCTACTTAAATACAAATAGTAGGCATTTACTTTTTTGCAAAGAATCATCCTTGATCAATATTGCTCCCGCCCCGCCTTCTCTAACCAGTAGACTTGTGTGCCTTGTTTTTCAACTCTATGCACTCCTCCAATTTGCACTCTTAACATGGCGTGTCTGTTCCGGCACCTTACTGAAGTAATGGAACAAAACAAAAATTTCCTCGATGGAGCTTAAGAAAATCGAGAACATGCTTTGTGAGAACGAATATCCTGAGAGATTCAACATAAGAAATTTGGTTGCGCGACAAATAAAACTCACCATAATAGGAGGCAATATTTCTCAAATCCTCATGTCAAGGCGATGCGGCAAGTGAACTCGTAAAAAAACATCGTGACCATACCGTGTCACTAACCTTCCCAGCATCGATAATTCATGTATTTCTCTCAACCAACCAGGTCTTGAACAGGTCTTGAACAGGGAACGTAAGGATGTGTACCAGCTCGGGACACCCCCATGTCCATCGGCTCATTTACTTGCTCCTGTAGAGCGGGTTATATTGGTCGCATTAGTCGACGCCTATCGATCAGAAAAAAGGAACAGTCCCCAGCATAGCCGAGAAAAAGATAAGTCAGGAAGAAAAACAGCGCTATTCCCGCGAACACAGTCGATTCCGAACGCTCTGTGCAACACAACGGAGCCTTCCTGGCGATTTTTAGGTTGCGACCAAACTATTCCAGGTCCCTGAGTCAGCGTGTGCCAGCTAGAGCGGAAACTAGCGTAGTCAGGTTGAGGATACCGGTCTTGTGTGCGCAGATAAGCCTCCTGCAAGCTCTACTACGCTTGGCATGGCTAATGATCCCTTAACTAAATGAGCTCGTTCGTGCTCTCTTTTTCTCGCTCTCCTCCCCCTGGACCGGCTCTATCAAACCCTCACCGCCGCGTACTCAGCCTTTGTTTTTTGACCCAACATCTCCCCCCCGTTTCCGCGATTCACTTGTACGAAAAGACGAAAATGCTTTAACTTTTTAGCTCATTTCCGTATTAGAGTTAGGGTCGGATGAAAATTTAGCGAAAGCTTACGTACCCTTATCAAGTGCCCTTCCGAAAAAAGAAAAAGGATAGAAATGGTAATACTCTCTATGCTCTCCGCGGACTCCGGTAACTTTCTTGTTTATATGCGCTACACTCACAATAAATGTTTTCATCCCTCCTGTTTTACAGGAGTACCTGTTTTGTCCGGGGTCATTGTTCAACACCAGCTGCCTCAAAGTCATCCAATACCTCAGTCAGCGCTTCCAATCGCGCTGACCTGCAGAGACTTGACCTACTTCCACTCGGACACACA